AGGTTCGAATCTCAGTTCTTTCTTTGAATCATGTTTAAAATTATCGTTTTTTTTCACATTTTGTTAAACAATCTATATGCTGAAAATGCTTATTTCTTTCGATGAGTTTGTTTTATATTGAAATTTCCTAAATTCTGGTAGCGGGGACTGACTGTTAACCCAAATGAATCCTCATGGTCTGACCAAAAAGTACGCTGACTGTTACTATGATAACAGAGCTAAAATACGCAGAGTAATGTCACTTGGCAGAGATTGAGCATGTACACCAAGCTATAACGTTCTCGATCACTTTCGTTGTTTATAGCAGTGCTTGGAAGGAAAGTGTGTAGAGTGTGGTCCTTACCAACAATACATTTCATAAAGCAAAATGACCAACAATACATTTTTATAGTAAAATTACCAGCAATATATTTTTTAAAGAATCATCAACAATACATTTTATGATCGATAAACTATATATCTAAAAAAACATACGGTTGCACTGAAAGTATAAATTTAAGTACAACATATTTATAGATGAAGCCATAAAATCGCGTACAAAAGATTTACATTTCGGCATTCAATAACCCATAGAGGTGTTGATATGCCTCTAAACAAAAACAACCAAACCAAATCGTTTAATAAAAAGGGTGATTTTTTTATAATGTGTCCTATTTTGGGGTATGTAAAGGAAATAATATTAAACGATTTACATTGTACGGACTATTGTCCTTATCTATATTTTCATATCCACGACGTTTCGTTCGTTGTACTCCCGGGCCTTCATCAAGTGATATACTTCAGAATTCTGAACAGAACCCTTTATATAGGGGTAGATTGTTCTAGTTCCACGTGCCATGCCTTTTCTGAATATCTGAGTTTCATTTATTTCCCTTTAGTAACTCAGCTCTTCAAGTTTTTGTTCCCTCTGCTGTGGCCAGAGATTGAACTCACAACTCTTTGGGTCAAGTCACTTTTGGATTACTTCAAGCTACACTTTTATCCACTTGACCTTATAAATCTAATGTCTCAGTAAACATTTTTTTACCAGAGCTCATATTACAAGTCCAGTTATTGTTGTTTTTCTCTGGCGCTATCACTGGTTCCCATATTGTATTCATGTCTTTTCTCGGACGGCTTAGGAAATTCTTTCAGGGTAGTCATATGGAACTGAGACATACAGAAAATTCATAGCAAGTGAAGCTAGAATAATCTACCTCCGTGGACTAAATAAAAGGTTTGGTTCAGAATTCCAATGTATATCATCTGAAGAAGGCCGAAGAGTACAACGACTGAAATATGACAATAAAGATGAGGATAACAGTCCGAACGATATAAATAGTGTAACTATTTACAATACTTCATCGGGGAAATATAGACAGATCTTGAAGGACACCGGAGCGTACAACGGCCGAAACGTCGTGGATATGACACTAAAGATGAGGATAATATTTCAAACAAATAGTGTAACTAGATACACTATCTTAAATCAAAAATATAGATCCTGAAAACGTCAAAGCGTACAACGGCCGAAACGTCTTGGATATGTCAATAAAGATCAGGACAACAGTCTGCACAATGTAAATACCTCATTTCAGAAAATATGGACAGATCCTGAAGAATGCCGGAGTGTACAACAATCGAAACGCCGTGGATATGACAATAAAGATGAAGACAACAGTCCGAACAATGTAAATAGTTACAATACCTCATCTCAGAAATATGGACAGATTCTGAAGAATGTCGAAGCGTACAACGATCGAAACGTCGTGGATATGACAATAGAAATGTGGACAACAATGTAAACAATGTAAATAGTTACAATACAGACATTAAAATTTTGTAAAATTAAGACTTAATTAAATTTAATTTAAAACTTAAATTAAGAAATAAATTAAATTAAAAATTAAATTAAATATGAAAATTAAATTAATTAAAATCCAAAAATTAAATTAAAAAATATTAAACATCAAAATTGTCTGATCCTTCCCAACTATTGGCCTATCAGCCACCTATATCTTTTGGGCAAAGTTCTAAAATTTCTAATCAACTCTGTATTGGTCATGCAACTCACATCGCAAGGTCTTTTTTACGTAAGCAATATGGTTTACGTTTCTCTAGGTCAACTGCTGATGTCTTAACAATTATTACAAAAAGATTTTATCTCGCTTTATATAAGAATGGTGAAGGTGGGGCCCTTGGATATCTTGAAAGCATTTAACAGGGTTTGCTATGACAGTCTTTTTCTGGTCGAATTTTTTAAGTGATTTAATCTTCCTGATCAAATAACGAAATGAAAGTTGGCTTGAATGGACATTCTTCTCGCTCTCTTGGCAGTAAGACAGGTCGCTCCAGTGCTCTGTCTTTGGGCCTACGCTGTTTCTAATTTTCATAAATGACCTTCCTGATATCATCAATTCTCAAATGTTATCTATGAAGATTACTCAACTATTTAATCTTGACTTAATAGTAAATCGGATCAGTTCGATAACGACAAATTGGCCAGCTAATCTCTAAAATGGTCTACAATCTAATGTCAACTAAAGTAAAGAATAGCTTGTTATATTTGACGCTTCCAAAATGAAATTGCTCTCTATCAATCAGCGGAGAGACGCATTTCTACCTTCCATCAACATTGCTGAAGCTAACCTCCAGAAAAGTAATTTGTTGTGCTTTCTCGGGATAATATTTTCCACTGACATGAAGTGGAAAGATTATATTGAATCAATTGCTAGATCTACTGCTAGGAAAGTTGGTTCACTGTGTCGTGCTTGGCAATCTTTCTGGCAAGAATCTATCTTACAGATTAAAAAGTCTACACTAAGAATATTACTGACACATATAGTCTGGTTTTCCTGCAATACATTTTAAAAAATCTTCAATGATATTGGTCCTGACCTGTGATCGAGCCTTCAGTGACTTGCCCTCCGTCGTAACGTATTGTATCTGTGCTTTTTCTATAACTACTTTTATGTTATTGTACTGATGAGATTTCCTCTATGGTACCAAGATTTTATGAGTTTAAATGCAGTGCTGGCTGTGCGGAAAGGTCCTATCATTTTACAGTTGAAACGGCTATATATAACCGTAAGTTCTATGCTAACAGTTTCTTCGATCGCACTTCTCACTTGTGGAACACACTTTCGGCTTCTTACTTCCAAATCGAGTTGGCTCTTCAAAAATGTGAATGTAATATCAATCGTTGTCTTTTGTCACTTTAATTCTTATTTTTTTTTTTGCTCTCAAACTTAATAGTCATTTTATCATATTCTCTAACACGTAGGAACCCCCCTGGCGACTTAGTGGCTTTATGGAGGTTTTATATATATATATATATATATATATATATATATATATATATATATATATATATATAATTTATGAATATATATAAAAAAGAAGGTCAGAAGAAGAAGAAGAAGAAGAAGAAGAAGAAAAAGGAAAGGAAAAGTGTTATGAGAATGACCAGAAGGAAGAAGGAAGGGATTCGAAGAAAGAAAGAAAGAAAGAAAGAAGAAGAAGAAGAAGGATTCGAAGAAAGAAAGAAAGAAAGAAAGAAAGAAAGAAAGAAGAAGAAGAAGAAGAAGGGATTCGAAGAAAGAAAGAAAGAAAGAAAGAAAGAAGAAGAAGAGGAAGGGATTCGAAGAAAGAAAGAAAGGAAGAAGAAGAAGAAGAAGAAGGGATTCGAAGAAAGAAAGAAAGAAAGAAAGAAAGAAAGAAAGAAAGAAAAAGAAAGAAGAAAAGAAAGAAAGAAAAGAAAGAAGAAGAAGAGGAAGGAAGAAGAAAGAAAGAAAGAAAGAAAGAAAGAAAGAATGAAGAAGAAAGCTCTGAAGAAAGAAAGAAAGAAAGAAAGAAAGAATGAAGAAGAAAGCTCTGAAGAAAGAAAGAAAGAAAGAAAGAAAGAAAGAATGAAGAAGAAAGCTCTGAAGAAAGAAAGAAAGAAAGAAGAAGAAAAGAAGAAGAGGAAGGGGAAGAAAGAAAGAAAGAAAGAAAGAAAGAAAGAAAGAAAAGAAAGAAAGAAAGAAGAAGAAGAAGAGGAAGGATCTGAAGAAAGAAAGAAAGAAAGAAAGAAGAAGAAGAGGAAGGATCTGAAGAAAGAAAAAGAAAGAAAGAAGAAGAAGAAGAAGAAGGGATTTGAAGAAAGAAAGAAAGAAAGAAAGAAGAAGAAGAAGAAGAAGGATTGAAGAAAGAAAGAAAGAAAGAAAGAAAAAGAAGAAGAAGAAGAAAGAAAGAAAGAAAGAAAAGAAAGAAAGAAGAAGAAGAAGAAAGAAAGAAAGAAAGAAAGAAAAGAAAGAAGAAGAAAGGAAGGATCTGAAAAAGAAAGAAAGAAGAAGAAGAAGAAGGAGAAGAAAGAAAGAAAGAAAGAAGAAAGAAGAAAGAAGAAGAAGAAGAAGGGAAAAAAGAAAGAAAGAAAGAAAGAAGAAGAAGAGGAAGGAAGAAGAAGGATTGAAGAAAGAAAGAAAGAAAGAAGAAGAAGAAGAAGGGAAGAAGGAAGAAAGAAAGAAAGAAAGAAAGAAAGAAGAAGAAGAAGAAGAAGGAAAGAAAGAAAGAAAGAAAGAAAGAAAGAAGAAGAAGAGGAAGGGATTCGAAGAAAGAAAGAAAGAAAGAAAGAAAGAAGAAGAAGAAGAAGAAGGGATTCGAAGAAAGAAAGAAAAAGAAGAAGAAGAAGAAGAAAAGAAGAAAAAGAAAGAAAGAAAGAAAGAAAGAAAGAAAGAAAGAAAGAAGAAGAAGAAGAGGAAGGGAATCGAAGAAAGAAAGAAAGAAAGAAAGAAAGAAAGAAAGAAAGAAAAAAGAAGAAGAGGAAGGATCTGAAGAAAGAAAGAAAGAAAGAAGAAGAAGAAGAAGAAGAAGGAAAAGAAAGAAAGAAAGAAAGAAAGAAAGAAAGAAAGAAAGAAGAAGAAGAAAAGGAAGGATCTGAAGAAAGAAAGAAAGAAAGAAGGAAAGAAAGAAAGAAGAAGAAGAGGAAGGGATCTGAAGAAAGAAAGAAAAAAGAAAGAAAGAAAGAAGGGATCTGAAGAAAGAAAGAAGAAGAAGGGAGAAGAAGGAAGAAAGAAAGAAAGAAAGAAAGAAAGAAGAAGAAGAAGAAGAAGGGATGGAACAAAAGAAAGAAAAGAAAGGGAAAGAAAGAAGAAGAAGAGGAAAGGAAAGAAAGAAAGAAAGAAAAGAAAAGAAAGAAAGAAAGAAGAAGAAGGAGAAAAGAAAAGAAAGAAAGAAAGAAAGAAGAAGAAGAGGAAGGAATTCAAGAAAGAAAGAAAGAAAGAAAGAAGAAGAAGAAGAAGAAGAAGTAAGAAAGAAAGAAGAAGAAGAAGAGGAAAAGAAAGAAAGAAAGAAAGAAGAAGAAGGGAGAAGAAAGAAAGAAAGAAAGAAGAAGAAGATTTGAAGAAAGAAAGAAAGAAAGAAAGAAGAAGAAGAAGAGGAAGGGATCTGAAGAAAAGAAAGAAAGAAAGAAAGAAGAAGAAGAAGAAGAAGAAGAAGAGGATCTGAAGAAAGAAAGAAAGAAAGAAAGAAAGAAAGAAGAAGAAGAGGAAGGATTTGAAGAAGAAAGAAAGAAAGAAAGAAAGAAGAAAAGAAAAGAAAAAAGAAAGAAGAAGAAGAAGAATTTTGAAGAAAGAAAGAAAGAAAGAAGAAGAGGAAGGGATTGAAGAAAGAAAGAAAGAAGGAAAGAAAAAGAAGAAGAAGAAGAAGAGGAAGGGAAAAAAGAAAGAAAGAAAGAAAGAAAGATTGAATTGAAGAGGAAGAAGAAGGAAAAAATAAAGAATGAAAGAAGAAGGAAGGATTGAAGAAAGAAAGAAAGAAGGAAAGAAAGAAAAAAAAAAAAGTCTCCTGGAAAGAAAGAAAGAAAGAAAGAAGAAGAAGAAGAAGGATCTGAAGAAAGAAAGAAAGAAAAAAAAGAAAAAAGAAGAAGAAGAGGAAGGATCTGAAGAAAGAAAGAAAGAAAGAAAGAATAAAGAAGGGCTCTGAAGAAAGAAAGAAAGAAAGAAGAAGAAGAAGAGGAAGGGAAAGAAAGAAAGAAAGAAGAACTTTTCGAAGAAAGAAAAAGAAAGAAAGAAAGAAAAGAAGAAGAAGAGGAAATCTGAAGAAAGAAAAGAAAGAAAGAAAGATAGAAAGAAAGAAGAAGAAGAAGAAGGTTCTGAAGAAAGAAAGAAAGAAAGAAAGAAAGAAGAAGAAGGTCCAATTCAAAGAAAGAAAGAAAGAAAAAGAAAGAATTTACGAATTATATATAAATATATAAATAAAGAAATAAAGAAGAAGAAAAGAAAAGAAGAAGAAGAAGGGAGGACTGAGGAAAAGCAAGGGTATTATCGTTTGTGATGGGGGAAAAAGCTTAAGAGGAATTTTTTTTGCAAAGTCTTTGACTACAGAATAATCAAATCAATCATTTCTGGTTTATTTAAAAAAATAAAAAATTTTAAAATAATAAATTTTAAAAATAAAAAATTTTTAAAAATAAATTTTTAAAAAATATCTTTTAAAAAAAAATAGCGTTCATTGAATTGTTGTTTAAAAAAAATAAAGCGTTGGGAGGTTAATTAATAAAAAAAAAAGCTGGTAAAGGTTGAAAAAAAACCTGATCTCCTAATTTTTAAAGATAAATGCTCTACATGAAACAACATTTTTAATAACTGTTTCCTGGTCCAAACATCTATGCATTTACGCATTATATATATATATATATATATATATAAACAAATATAGATAAGAAAACCTCGAATTTTTGCTTTGCAATAATCAAATCAATCTCGAGGGAAAAAAAGTTTTAAAAAAAAAACAGCTAAAAAACATGAAAGTCTGTCAGAAAAAACAGTGGACAGGTTTGAAGCCCAAAGAAAAACCTGATACGAGTAAACAACTAATTCAACAAAAGCGTCAATACAAGGTGTAGAGCCTAAATGTAAGGTTTGTTTCAAATGATCGTCAGGGAAAGCAATGACTTTCCCTGACGATCCGTTTAGGTGAAATATAGGTTTGTATATATATTTATATATATATATATATATATATATATATATATATATATATATATATATATATATACACACATATATGTGTGTGTGTGTGTGTGTTTACAAATATATCAAATATAACAATGCTTTTTAATAAATCTGAAAATGTTGGATTGATAAACGTTTCCTTTTTTTTATTTACTTTATTATATATATATATATATATATATATATATATATATATACTGGTTGAGGTAGGTAAATTTTCCCATCTTATATTTTAAATTTGGCGCATGCCCATTGATTGTTTTTAATTTTGTCGACTGTACAGTATAGTAGGGTCAGTTGGGCACCTTCTGCGAGAAAAAGAGCACCATGGCGCAATTCACTCCGGCAGAAATTTGGAAACAGCATGCTTTACTGCTTGGCAATCGCATCGGAAATTTACTCTTTACTATTTCAAGATATTTTGCTATAATTTTTTTCGCTATATATATATATATATATATATATATATATATATATATATATATATATATATATAGGCAAAATCAGTAAAACTAAACAAACAATACTAACAACAAAAATTACACAAAATTCATAATCCTACCCTCCAACACTTCAACTAAACTCGCAAAGAAATTAGACATCCCTAATACGAAGATTGTTACAACCACCTCCAAAACTATCGGAGATATATTCAGGATGAAAAAAAATAACAATTGCTCGCGTTCATCAAATAAAATGTCTACAGTGCAATAACATGTATATTGGAGAGACTTCACGTGATCTAATGACCCGCATCCAGGAATACAAAAGGGATTTGCGTTTAGAAAAACATTCAAATTCTCTTGTATTACACCGAACAACGTAGAACATAACTTTAATTTCACCAATGCCTGCCTTATTAAAAACGAACATAACACTTTAAAGAGAAAATATTATGAAAATATATTTATAACCATATTATCAACTATTAATACATGTTTTAAAAAATTACATTACGTCACCAGTTTTCTATGGATCCATTATTCATGAATGTAACTTATCTCTTCCGAATACATAAAAATCAATAGATATACACTTATGAAAAATTGTCCACATAAATATATATATATGTGTGTGTATGTATGTGTGTGTGTGTGTAATAAGATAAAGAACAAAAGGATACGTATATAAAGAAACAGTAATACAGACACACACACACATATATATATATATATATATATATATATATATATATATATATATATATATATATATATATATATATGAAAAAGAAGTTGAAAATACAACTGGAGACCTGGAGAATATTTATTTAGTGTAGGTTCAACGGTTTCACTGTTCTATGATTGCTAAAAGTTAAATTGAGATGGCGAGACGTGAGGCTATGCCATAATCTGTTTAAGATTTGACTGGTGTTGGAGAATATTTTTACCTCTGATATATATATATATATATATATATATATATATATATATATATATATATATTTTAAAGAAAAAAAAAATCATTGGAACCAACGGACAACTTGCCAAATCTCGAATAAAACCAGTAATACTGAAAAAAGAGAAAACACCTAACAACAAACTTACCTTCTCAGTAAAGTGCTTCAGGTCTAGATTGCCTAGACCGTGCGAAACGCTAAATCCTATAAAAGAATGGCTCTAGTCGTAGCCCGAGTTTTTAACGCTAATCCGATCTTCAGACCACTTGAACGGAAAATGAAAGAAAAGAGTGAGAAAAGGAGAGAGATAGAGGGAGGGGTGAAATTGCGTGTGGAGCTGTAATTAAATAAACAGTATAATTTATCAATTGTCCTTGTCGGTATAAGTGTGTTCGCTCCATGTCTAAAGGCGTCGGCCAATAATATACATTAACATCCACACTATAATGTAAAAAATTAAGCAAGACTTTGTTCTCCTCCTACCACTACAAGAAAAACGCTTCAGAATCTTCGCTTATGAAATCGCGCTAAAAAGGAAAAGATCACACGAAAACAAAGGAAAAAAAACAGTAATACGGAAAATGTGTTAAATGAAATAAATATAAAAAAAAGACAATATGCGTAAGATATTATTTACTTTTCTTTATTTTCCGATTCCATTATTGGATTCACGAGAATTTCCATTTTATTTTTTGTAGAATTTCCTGCAGTGTCTTTTACTCGTTACCACCGTAAGCGACCAATGCCGTCAGGATGAAGAACACATTACGAAAGTTCAAATTCCCTCTAGCCTCCTTCTCCCACCAAAAATAAAATACAATAAAAGAAAAGAAAAAAAATGATAATTAATAACGAATTTAATCTGATTATGTTAATGATTTCCCGGCTTTCACACGAGAAAAAAAATCGTGAAAATAAGCTTTTCGTGGGGGAAAAAAACTTAGCTGATTCGGATCAGGTTGGTGATATTGTTGCTAAATAGTAAACAAGAAGAAACAAAGAAAACTAATTGAAATGACTTTTAAGAAGTCAATAATAATAATAATAATATAGTAACTGCCAAAAAAAACAAGTTCTGAATACTAATTCTATCCTGAAGAATATATACCAATAAGTTGATTAAAATTGCAAGCTTTGTGATATGGAGGTGGAAAAATGTCACTCAGATTATTAACACTTGTAGAATGCTTGCTCAGAATGTGTACATCGACGCCATGTTAAAATGGCTTCTCATCTGCATTGGTACCTATGTAGGAGGTTGAGCAGAAATAGTATCACCACAAACCAGAGAAGGTAACCGAAAACCACTAAATCATGGTCTTATGGGATTTCAACGTCCAAACAGACCGCAACCTAACTAGAGATCACTGTTAAGGAAAAAAATGCCTCTTGGTCGATATGGTTGACCCTGTTGACTATAATATCAAAGTAAAAAAAAAAAGAGACGTTAAAAATCTACACTGACCTCCAGATTAAATTTGACAGAATGTCCAAGCGAGCGTCAAGGTCTATGCTACTCCGAACATTAAAATCTACACAAAGAAAATTGGAATAAAGCCTAGTATTTCTATGTAAAGTGCTCAGACAAATGACATTCCCACCAGTTCCAACCTTCATGGCTAAGCCCCGAATTGCTGCACACATTGTAGCGTACCACCCTTCCTATCCCATTGGCGAAATCAAAGTTCCACTCGAGCAGCTTTTTCCTGCGAGCCGTTGTATTGTGGAACCGACTCCCAAGAGGATGCTTCCCCGATCACTACAATCTTGTTGAAGAAAACTACAAACTTGTTTAATCTATGGTTAACAGTTATCTTCGTCACATATTCCATAAACTTTGCCTTACTCTGTAACACTCTGCCTCGAGTGGCTGTTGTGCCTGGTACAGAGTGAACATTATTGTAAAAAAAATATCCCGTCGCTTCAGAAGTCTGCGTTGCCTGGTTCTGTAAATATGCTGCCAAAGGTGTTATATGCTTGAGGTCGTACGATGGCGAAAACCCAGAATACAAGATCACCAGTTGAAAACGAAAACTCCGCGAAAAAGAAAATACTACTACTAATAATAATAATTTTAATAATAACAATAAGAAGAAGAAGAAAGAAAGAAAGAAAGAAAGAAAGAATATAAGCGATGACATGATTAGATTGGTAAGAGAATCCCCTGGGTGGTATAACGTATATAAGGCTTCAGTGTAAAAGAGAAGTGGTATGAATATCAGCCAGAGGCAGTGGTAAAAATAAGTCACAAGATATTTGGGGATTACTTGAAGACCCGGCTTTATTGTGGTAGATACTGTTATGGTAATTTATGGACTCTCCCAGCTATAAATAGGAGCAGGTACTGCCTTTTGTAGAGGGAAGTTTCCAACAGTCAGCTCTGACAGTCGGACCGGACATTCTTGCTGTAACACTCTCGTTTGTATATATTTGTATTATTGTTTCTGTTAATATATTTCTTTAGCTCATGTCCTCTCTTTGTGTCATTATTTCTGGCCCTAACAAGGCCACAAAAGATATGGAAAATAACAAGTGTCAAAGAAAAGAATTTAAATATACTAAGATCTGGCGAGGAAGTTAAAGAAACTATGGAACATCAACGTTGAAGTAATTCCTGTAGTAATGGAGGCATTTGAAACAAGACCTAGATACACCAACTTGAAAGAGTGATCAGGAAAAATTGTAATTGAGAGCAGATTGGAGATTGCCAGATAACTACCATCATTATTCTAAGAGGATTTCTCTGAAGGATTATTGAGTTGTGGGGAGACTTGTTGACACCATAACTCAAGAACAGAATTAACTACGTCAATGTGTGACACTAGCATAATAATAAATAAAATGTTTATATCTCTGTTTAATAATAATAATAATAATAATAATAATAATGAAATCAAAATATCAAAAATGTGGCACATAGGAATATCAACAATTCTTGTTGTCTTTGGAGCCCTCGCATTGGTTGGAAAAGATTCCAGTAGACTAATTGAAGGGATTCCTGGAAACCTATGCCTTAAAGAAAGACAAAAAAAAAAATGTAGTCATGAGTACCAAGAGCTTTATCTTTGTAAAATATGCGTTTTGTTTTAATTGGTCAGTGGAAAATGTCATCATGTCATTTCTAACCTTAGGCCTATGGAACGGACCCGGAAAGAAATGAGTACACAGCAGAAATCAAAGGAAATAAAATAATAATAATAATAATAATAATAATAATAATATGCCCTTGAGTACGCTGAGAAGTGGAACAAGCATTTACCACTGTCAGTGGCCAAGAATTAACATGCCATGCTTGACTACGATATAGAAGGAGCAATATTACATAACTGTTCAGTACTCTTTTCTTTGTTCATGTTGCTCAAGTCTCTTCTTCGTCTGTGAGGAGATTTTTAACCTTTGACTACCATATAGCAGGACCGATATCACGTAACATTTAAGTAAATAAAGTCAAAAAATCACTTGATGAGTCAACAGCCAGCTAAAGGTGATGTCTCAATAAAATCACCGTGGAGGAGGCAACGGGAAATCGGTTCATTATCAGTCATGGCAATACATATTATAAACATTAAAAATAATGTCGTAAATGAGTGAAGTCTATTGTAAAACTAATCATAGAGATACCGAAATAAGAATTCTTAAGCAGGATAGAGCCAACAAACATTTAGGTACCCAAGATACAACTTTAATAAAGTATATGACAAACAAATAAAAAGTTTGAAAAAGTTATACATAAGTAAATGAGAAACAAGTATTCTTGTGTTTCTATGTGCCGTGTCTCTTCAGAATCATTGCTCTCCGCAACTTCCTGTTCTTTGTAGCTCTTAATAATCTTTGGTTTCGTGTATTCTTTTCTCTATTAAGCATTTATATAAATTTCCTTCGACCCTTTTGTTTTTAATATCTCCTGTTCGTATTAAATTTTCTAAGCCCTTTTTCCTCATTATATGTCACTGAAATTTCGACTATCTCTATGAGATTCTAATTATAAATACCCTTTTTGTTTTCATTTTTCCTAAAACTTTCCCATTTCTCTGACGTTCACTCACTGATATTCTCAGCATCCTTGTCTAGAACCGCATCACGGTTAGGTCAAGTTGCTTCCTCATGTGATGAGATTGCCCAGCATTCACTGCCATAGTTTCAATCTGACACTAATATTCTTAAATGTCATTTATCTTTAGCCCCTTATCTTCAAATTATCCATGACTAATTTTGAATGCTTCTTAAGTATTTTATTAAGTGACCTATCTTATACAAAAGGATGATGATGATGATGATGATGATGCTGATGATGATGATGAATTCTTTTTCGACTTATTCCTTTTCCTTTTATTATTTTTGTTTCTTTTCCATGAAGAAAAAAAATATCAACTGAAATAAAATCTGAAATAAATAAAACACTTTCAAATTTAAGGAATTACTAGTTTACCATAATATGCACCGTACGAAAGCGGATGTTGACCGTTTTTATAGACTTTAGGGCCACCTCACGTTGAAACGCCAAGTCCATTACGATCACCGAAGGTTTGTAAAAGGGTTAACGACAATACCGTTGAATAGTTACCCAAGCACAGTCGTTGCTACCTTCTTGGGGACGCTTCAGTCTCCGGGAAATACACCCAGCCTCCTCCCGAAGGAGAGGTACTGCGTATAGGGGGAGGTCCGTGGGGCTTGGGCATAATATTATTTGACCCTTCCCGAGCTAAATTGCCGAAAAAGCGACCTTGATAAAAGCCACATTTTTTCACACAGACAGCATCGAACTACAGAAATCGAGTAAGCAATCGTCAAAAATCCAGTTACCATAAATAAAAGAACATCGTCTGCTGAATTATTTTTAAATTTTTATAAGGTGAAAAGTTCGTAAGATGGACATTGGGGCTAGTAATTATTTTTATTAATTCTTTTTTATCTACTTAGAAAAATCCAGAACATCAGTTGGAGGTACCATGCAACCCTTAACACAATTTACGGAGAACTGAGACTAATATCTCTCCAGCTCAAACAAAGACGATTACAGATTGCCGGCCATTGCCACCGAGTGGAAAGGGAAATCGTTTCATAATTCTTTACATCCTTACTCCTATGGCATCGTTCTGGAAGTGTCTTCACGCAAAAATTGACTTTCCCAGACACCAGTTCGGAATTCAGGTTTGGACATTGGAGAATATGGCGACAGCAATACAGGATCGAACAGTGTGGAAAGGGATTGCCAATGGAGTTCCGACCAACCAGAGGGATGTCGTAAGATGATTACGATGATGCTGCTGCTGCTGATGATGATGATGATGATGCTGTTGCTCATGATGATAATGCTGCTGCTGCTGATGATGATGATGATGCTCATGATGATGATGTTGCTCATGATGATAATGCTGCTGCTGCTGCTGATGCTGATGATGATGCTGCTGATGATGATGAATTCTTTTTCCACTTATTCCTCCTCCTTTTATTATTTTTGTTTCTTTTCCATGAAGAAAAAAATATTTTTTTCGGTTTTGAATAAACCATAGAGGTTTGTTGGATTTTGTTTAACGAAATATCAACCTCTATATATAATGGGGCGATAAACAGTAAAATAAATCAAGGGACCAAAACAACCATGAAAAACAAATTTTTGATCGATCGGTTTTATTGTACATCATTACACCTATCTCAATGAGTTCATATCTATCTATCTATCTATCTATCTATCTATCTATCTATCCAATTTTATTTATATCTATCTAATCTCTGTTCCAATCTGTCTCTGTTCCTAATTCTCCCTCTCGCTCTCTCTCTCTCGCTCTCTCTCTCTCTCTCTCTCTCTCTATATATATATATATATATAGAGAGAGAGAGAGAGATATGTCTGTGTGTATCTATCTCCCTTGCTTATCTATCTATCTACCTATCTATCTATCTATCTATCTATCTAATTTTATTTATATCTATCTAATCTCTGTTCCAACCTGTTTAACTCTGTTTCTAATTATCTCTCTCTCTCTCTCTCTATATATATATATATATATATATATGTGTGTGTGTGTGTGTGTGTGTGTGTGTGTGTGTGTGTCATCTATCTATCTATCTATCTATCTATCTATGTCCCTTGCTTTCTCTCTATCTATCTATCTATCTATCTATCTATCTATCTATCTATCATATTGATGAATCAGTCTCAGTCAGTTTCTATTTATCTCTCTTTTTCTCTTTCTTTCTTTATTCCCTTCTCTCTTTTAATCTATTTAGATCTATCTCTATTTCTATCTCAGAACGTTTCCATTTCTCTCTCTCTTTTCTCTTTTTTCTCTTGCTCTCTCTATTTATCAAATTCTACTGACGATCCTGTTCATATCTAACTCTCATTCAATTAATATCTATCTCATTCTATTCATAACTATCTTTTTATCTATATATCTCATCGTTTCTTTCTTTCTATCGATATATCAATTTCAGAATCTTTCTATTTCTCTCTTTCTCTGTCTGTCTGTCTGTCTATCTCCCTCTCTCTCTCTCTCTCTCTCTCTCTCTCTCTCTCTCTCTCTCTCTCTGGCTATTTCAATCTGTTCATATCTATCTTCTTATCTCTCTGTTTCTCTCAATCTTAATACGTTTCTTTCTTTTTTCTATCTATCTGAGGTTATTCCATATCTATCTATCATCTATCTATCTATCTATCTATCTGAGGATATTCCATATCTATCTATCTATCTATATATCTATCTATCTATCTATCTGAGGCTATTCCATATCTATCTATCTATCTATCTATCTATCTATCTATCTATCTGAGGCTATTCCATATCTATCTATCTATCTATCTATCTATCTATCTATCTGAGGCTATTCCATATCTATCTATCTATCTGAGGCTATTCCATATCTATCTATCTATCTATCTATCTATCGATCTATCTATCTGAGGCTATTCCATATCTATCTATCTATCTATCTATCTATCTATCTATCTATCTATCTATCTATCTATTTCGCTCACCTATCTATCTATCTATCTATCTATCTATCTATCTATCTATCTATCTATCTAACAAAACATCTCTTCATTATCCCAACTCCTCATCTACATATCGACTTGTACACGCGTCCCAGCCTATCTTTCCGGTGCCATTTTCATTTCTGTCGAAATCATTGCCCTGAG